GGAGAAGGAAGTACAGAGATGGTGGATGCATGAACGAAGTAAGTGGAAGTAATGTCAGCTTGATTTACTTTATTACTTTATTTTGTTATTGTTAGTGTTGACATTTTAAGTTGATATGTACTTATTTTGTCTTTATGTCTTTTGATATCTCTCGTGCACAGCATCTTTAATTGTGGCAAATAAAATTGTTGGAACGGCTTCTGAATCTAAATGTGCACTCCACATCAGATGTTCTGGGAGCCAACGCCACCACTTTCACTGAAGTGTTCTCAATTTCTCTTTCACTTTTATTTGCAGAAAAAGATTTATACGACAAACAAGAAACATAATTGTGCACTAAGGTGGAGTAAGTGATTCTACAGTAATTCAATAAATTTTTTTGTCAAATTTAGAGAATATCTCCTCACACTTCATATCCCTGGCTCTGTAAATGTGAAATAAACAAAGTGTCTCGGTCCAAGTAACACAACACTATTCCAACCAATGAGCAACAGAGGGTGCTTATGCTCATGAACAGGACAAGGGAAAGGAAAAGAGAAGAAGGTAGATCATGGCAAGAGGGCAGTGAAAGCGAAAGATGGTAAATCTGGCACACGCTATCAGACAGTGCCAATTTTACAAGTTGCAATAGGCTATACCCTTCAGTCTGTGTCAGACCATGTGGAGTTAGGACTTAAGATGAGAGTCTGGCGGCAACATTAAGGTATGTGCATGGAGGAACATCTATATTTCTTCTACCCCACTTTGCATGTTGGTGCCCAGCTATGCAGCAAGATAAACACACTTCTAATAAAGACTGAAGACAGCAGTTGGCCCTCGAGGTATTTACTGGAAGCATTTGAGAAACTGTGAAACAGTAATGGTCAACAAATTCAGTGTTGGGGTTTACAAATCAGAGAAATGAAGCCTTCGTATATAGCACACTTTATTAAGAGGTTTATAAGCCAATAGTACTGGTAAATATATTGTTCACTAATACTAATACTACCGATCAGTTATAAGCCATTAATAAGAACAACTTTTGGGTTTCCCACAACCTGGCAACCCCAAAATTGTTCTTATTAGAATTATGGTTTATAATCGACCTATAATGGATGATGTTTTAATAGACCCAAAATTGCAGCGTACTCATCCCATTGCAAATGGTGTCTCATCAGAAGGTGTTAACAAATACATTTTTCTCAGACCTCCTGCCCCACTGATCATTTTGTATCCAAGCGAGCTGGGTCTTGTTCTGTTATACCAGGCTACAATTTTGCTGTTGTTGCTGAAGCTGTTTTGTCAGAGTCACAGCTTGTTTTACATACAATTAAGCCCTTGGTAATATTTCTTTTTTTGTTGTTAGATATGATGTAGTTGGTATAATGCAGGGGTCTGCAAGTAGGTCCAACCATGAGCCATTTTTTCAGCACTGTTCAATGGGTGGTGGGGGGAATATAACATATTAATAAAACATGCTGTTTTAGATATGATATGCACCATAGGACAGTTTTTTTTCTTCCATTTAGTTGAGTGCTAACAGATTATGTTTCTGTAAAACTCAACTTGTAGCCTACGATACATACCGTATTGCACTGCAATTGATAGGTTATCCACTCAATAAACAGTGACCTATTTGTGGTTGAATGAAAATACTGTTGTTATTGTTTATCGAGAAAAAAAACACTGCATGTTGTCGCTTATATACAGTTGCAAATCATCACTATAGCCTATTTGTTGTAACAAGGTCGTGTTTGTTGGGATTTACACAAGGCTGTTATTTACATTGTTACCTACGTTAAATTTATGGAAAGTTAAGCGAAAGTGTTTATGCAGACTATGATAGGGAAAACTTCCCCCTTTTGCCTTTTTCCCTGCCATTGGTGTAGTGGCTTCATTTGTTTGCGGGCGATTTCCGGGGTCGTTCCGCGCTGTGGCCGCTAACACTCCTCCCACCTGCCATTACACGAGTGAGGTAGCCGTGTAATGGCAGCCCAACAGGCCACAAGGTGCCGGGGAAAGGCGGCCTGAAACCAACAGACTATAGGTGTTGCGACACAGCCGCCGTTTCTACGTGTTTATGAAAGCTGAATTTTGCCATACAGTGTTTAACAGTTACCAACATCGACCATAGGGTGGCGGTAGCAGAACAAACCAAAACTTGTTGGATGTTCAGGCTAGTTTATAACAAGATGTGTTTGCCAATAGAATTTTTCTTCTCCAACGAGGGTTATCATTAAATTATTCTATGTCCAATCACGCAGATTATCGGTTATTAATATTAGAGGTATAATTCAGTATTTCACGGTGCCAAGGGTTATCCTGCGCAGTGGTTACAGCGCTAACAGTGGTTCATTTTCAGAAAATTAACTGCGACCTCTTGATTAGGCTAAGCTAGTGATAATACCATTATGTTTGCAGCCATGTTGCCATGTTTGTCTGCAAGCGGAAATTGTGGCATTTGGGGACTTCGCCTGAAACGTGGCCCTAGCGTTATAGTGACCAAGAAAGTGGCCAACCTGGGCAAATATTCTAGAGGTGGTCGCGAAAGTATGTTAGCAAGAAACGAAACTCTCGACTGAACCGGGTCAGTGATGTTATTTCAGCCAACTGAAAGTCGGTGTCGATTCCTTATTAGGCTAGTGATACAATCGTGTAGTTCGCAGCCATACTGACGACCAATTTAAGATCAGCCAGTTTTTATTTTAGCATTATGTACTTTTATTAGTCAATTTTGAGAAGGGGTGCCATCGCTATACTAAACAGCGGTTCGTTTTCTCAAACAAACTGAAAACTGCAGATTCATTTAAAATTACAGCAGCCGCATTTGTCTGCGAATGGGTGGGGATTCATTATTTAGCTAGTGCTATAACCGTATAGCTAGCAACCATATTTATCAGCTAGCTGAAAATCAGCGAGATGTGATTTTTTCTTTGCCTGCTTGAGTGCTTGTGCTTTTTAGTAAGGGGTACGGGTCTGGTAGACCCCTGACGGCTCAGCAGCTAGCAGTCTTACTACGGGACAGCCTCCCGCATCGGTCGTCCAATGGATCATTCCCGGTAATGCGGACGTCACAAGAGCCGGTCTGCCAATCGGGCTTTGTGCTTTCTCATGAAACCAAGAGTCAGGGGGTTCATTTGTGCCTATAAGGGAACGGCCGAGGTAAGTCACTAAAGATATATCTTTGTACAAAATTAGCCGCTTAGGTATTCGGTTGGGACTTCCTCCTATAACGGCGCTTTCTCGATGATAACGCACGGCGTAGTGTTGTTACAGTTATTATTGTCCCGATTTGGTGTAAATCCAACCTTATGCAGCCGCACTACACAAAGACCGGCTCATATAAACCCACGGCCATAACCATCGGATAGGATCGGGAGCCGAGGAGGTCGTCCTATCACTGCTATTGTAATGTATTGTGCAATTAACTTCAGTGTGTGTTTTGCCGGTTGTTGTAATAACGTGCTTATGTGCGCATAGTCGACTCTAATTGCATTTTCTTGCACGAATGTTTGAGTGTGTCACTTTTAGCTTGCTTAAACGTAAAGATTAAACACATAAAAGGCTTCTCTCATGTGAAACTAGACTGTAGCTGCTGCTCGGTGCATGCAATGAGAAATACAGAAAGCAAACCCTGACTACATAAATGCACATGCCGGTCAGGGTGTTAGGCACGTTACCACTTCACTCGTGGTGTATTGTATTTGTTTTATTGTAAGTAAAGCAACAGGGTCGTGTGTTTAAGATCGAGTTTCGTTGTCAGTGAAAGTTGTGCAGTGGAAACGTTCGCGGCAAAATATAGACAACGCGAGATTTCATTGACGGTCTCTATATGTTGAGGAAAAGGGGTGGAGAGACAGCGGCAGCATGGCACATGTGTCCTGTAGCACTTAGCTAATGCACACAGCTCGGTGTCTTAATGTACAGATGACAAGAAACCAGTCAGATGAAAACGTAAAGATGCTTTTGACTGGAAACCCTCAGCCTTTATTCTCCACAGTCAGTAAGACAATAGAGGATTAAGCAACCCACCCACTGGCCTAGTCTCACCCACCACCCCCACCCCTAGTAGTCAGCCATAGGATAGGGGTACACACTAGCTTTGGCAACATTGACAGCTATGTTTTTCTAATGAATAACTGTGAAAATTCTCTTTTGAAAAAAAAAGTTTTGGAAGGGCATACATGACAGAAAAAACTAAGCTGTAGATCATAGGATGTACTGTACTGTATGAGTAATATAGTTGAAAAACTACAGTGATGGTGGTGGCATTGGGTCACAGAGTGTCAGGTGTGATGTGCACATTTAAACACAGGATCCAGGAAAGCTGTATCACAAATAAGAACACTAGCCATAAATAAAGAATAGAATTGTTAAATTAGATTGGGTCCTTTCACTCTCGTACATCATTAAATGCATCCACAATTTGGATATTTGGGTAATTGTCAAATTAAACAAAAATGCAGTACAAAACAATCCAGTTAACACTCAAACAAATCCACAAAATAAGTTAAGGGGAAAAGTCCCTGTCGCTTTGTTCTACACTCTGCAATGGTTTGCATGTCTATTACGGAGTTGCAGGAAGTATAAGAGTTGGGTCTGGTGGTTTAAGGCAAAACTACATTTGCCTCTCATTCTCATACACACACACACTCACACACCCCAATGATAGCAGTTTACATTTGAAGGTGCTGGCCTAATCAATTGGTGCGAATTGGGGTTTCGGTGTCATGCCTAAAGACACTTCGGTGTGGGCAGGATGAGCCAGGGATCAAAAAGCTAAAGCTGAGATTAATGGATGACTCCCCCTCTACATTCTGAATTGCAGCCACCAAACAGTCAAATCTACAAAACACTGAGATTTTATGTTTGGTTAAAAATGGAAATGATAGAATTGATAAAATGTATAGACATGAACAAGTGTTAACTATAATAATAATATTAGATGACATAATTATTACATCATACTGTGAAATTATAAAAATGATTGTTATTGGGGGTTTTTTTCAGAGAGCTGCAAGATGGCAACTACAGAAGTTGTGATTCCAGACTCCTCCTATGATAAAACCAGCCGCTTCAAGTTGGTGACCTGGATCAACAACCTGCTGAAGACAGGCTTCAAAGATGTGCAGGAGATGGGTTCAGGTGATTCATCAGAATGTGGCCCTTTGTCATGTAGTTGACTGTGATGATCTCCTCCCAAAACATGTCTTGTGCTAAGCTGGTTGGCTCAACATGTGTATGGCTGTTGCTGGTGACAAGAGAGAAAGCATTGTATTTAAAAGGTCTCTGAGCTCGGATCTCAGTACTTTTTTAACTTGTAGTTTAGTTTCACTCCCCTGTGCATTTTAATACTTTCAGATACGTTATTCAGATATCAACTTTATTTTACTGTTTACGGTCATATCACAGCTGTATTTGAGCTGCATTACATTGTAAGTTGCTGCTTATTTCCTGCTGTTGATTCACATTGAAAGTTTTCCACTGGCAAACCAGCATGATGTTTTTATTGTGAAGCAGCTATTGGAAATGCAATGTCATTGAGTTAGCATCATCAGAGGCGCTACTCTTTAATAAAAAATGGTCAGACAGCGGACCAGGAATAATTATACAAGCAAAAACAGCCACAGTCGTCTTAGATGAGGAGCCACGACGTGGCTTGAATGGTCATGGCTGCTCAGCTCAGCGCAATATCCCCACTGCGATTGAAAAACAACAAAAGAGTGTTCTTCACACGTTCTGAACCGTCTATTTTCTGTGTATGATCCTACAGGTGCGTGTCAGTGTCAGATCATGGACTGGGTTTTGCCTGGTTCTGTTGACTTGACCAAGGTGAAGTTTGACGCACAAGGTGAGGAAGACTATAAGCACAACTTCAGTCTCCTCCGTGAAGCCTTCAGCAAGAATGGTATCACAAAGGTATGTACTTTTTCTCCAGTGGAGTAGCATTACACCTTTATGTTGTTTTTTGTTTTATTTTACTTATTTTTTACATTTCTTGAAGGAGAAGAAGATAGTTTCCAAAATCTATCCATTATGAGTAGTGCAAGGACCATGCCACTGTTGTATGCCCATGTATATTATATTGTGCATTAGTCATCATAATATTATATGATACAATGCAAATGTAGAGCCAAGATGAGTGACTTCCTGGAGTATCAGCTGATTTGTTTGGCAACTAAATGGTGACGGCAAAGACTCTCAGTAGTTTTACTCTGAATCACTGACCTCAAATGCCTTCTTTATTATGAAAGGACAAAGACGTATAATCAAGTGTATATGTGTTTATAAAAAAAAAATCAAATGATGGATATCCCTTTTTGGAACCAAATGTTATTTCATAGTAGTGTATCCCTACTTTTCTATATGATTATATTAATTTCAAAATTTTGCCATCTCTTCTTTGTCTTGATTTAGACCATTCCAGTTGAGGAGCTCATAAAAGGGGATTTTAAAAGCAACTTTGAGATGCTGAGGTGGTTCAAACTTTTCTCTAAAGCAAATGTTAAAAGTACACAATATGACCCTGTGAAAGCCCGGGACAGCCACAATATCAGCCCTATTGTGGTTTCTCCACAATCAGGTAACTGCAACTTCACATTTTCTCTCACTGTGATACTAAAATAAGGCAGTGTATTGTGTTTCAATCATCACATTTACAGTGCTTGTGCAGTAATTATTTTTTATTTTACTTTGTCAGGGAGGTCTAAATTGGAATCAGAAACGGAAGAGAACGGCTCTGAAACGAATAAAAAATTCCCTTACAGTGAAAAGTGGAAGGATATTTTTTGTTGGGCTGAACGTAGTCCTCTTGGAGAACAATATTCATACTGCCGCACTTGTGCCAGAAACCTGAACACATTTCATAAAGGCCTCTTTGAACTTAGGCGACATGTGGAAACAAAAAAACACAAGAAAGGGATTCAGATTTCCAGGAGAGCTACAATACAAAGCCGGCGCTCTGAACTGCTGCCCTGTAGTGATGCAGCTATCCGATTTATCCACAAACACTGTTACAATGGCTCCGCCAATGGTGGACAGGTGTCTAGACAGTTTGCACGTCGTAAGCTGGGGCTGCAGTACCCCAAAGATTTAACATCTGTTTGCCAGCACACTCCTTACTGTGTATACATTTATGGCGGGGTAACAGTGGGAGAGGAGGAGACCGTCTCTGTGGTCCTTGTTGGGTTTTTTGATGTCGAAGCCTGCAGGCACTGCATCCGGTTTCTGGATGCTCTTCAGTCAATGGATGGTGCAGGAGATCAAACAGCTACAGCAGTGGGGGAGACCTTGAAGAAATTTGGGTTACCAACAGATAACCTGGTTGCTGTTTATGTCAGTGGTCATGGTGGTGCCTCGGAGCAGATTTGCTCACAGCTCAGGGAACTCAGCCCAAACATAATAGTCTTAGGAGGGCTCTACACCATCGCTGATACTGCTTGCCATGCTGGGGTTAAGCAACTCTCCAATCAGGCTCAAGAGCTGATAGTAGACATCCATGCCCACTACTCCTCCTGCTCTATGAAGAATGATAACCTCAAGGCACTTTTTGGCTCAGATATTACTGCGGACAGTCCAGCATTTTGTATCAACACCAGCTGCCTTAACTTTTGCCAATTAGTCACGAAAATCTTGGAAATATGGACAGATCTTAAATCGTACTTCAGCTCTTGTGACAAGGATGATGACAAAGCCAAGTTAATCTGCTCCCAGCTGCAGGATCCCAAAGTCAGGGCAACATTTATGTTCCTGGAGCAGGCCTTAAAGCCACTGCACAGTTTCCTAAGTCATCTGCAAACACAGGAAGGAGGTTCCCGAGCTGATTTGCCTCTCATCCTAGAGGAAGCCAGTAACCTGATGTGCACCTACACCTCGTACTTCCTTCATCCTCAAGCTGTTGTTCGCTTCCTCAAGGAACGCGATGCCCAAATCCTTAAGAACAAGAAATTCCACCTGCCAAGTTCTGAACTCAGTCTGGGTGGGAAAGCCGTGACAGACTTTGTGAAGGAGTCTGAGGCTGCAGAGGCAATGTCACTGTTACAAGAGGAGGTACTGTCTTTCTACATCGCACTCACAGGTTGCATTTCAGAGGAGCTACCTCTAAACGATGGGTTGCTAAGGAGCATAGGTCAGCTGCTGAATCCTCAGAGCAGGCTGAAAGTGACAGGGAAAGCAGTAGAGGAGCTAGGAACCAAGCTGGGAATCTGCAGCTCCCCTGAGGAGGTCAAGCAACTTACGACTGAATTCCTTGCGTATCAGCTGACTGAGGAGGGAAAAGGTGAAGATGGAGACAAGGACCACTCAGCAGAGGTTTCACTGGAAAAACACTGGGCCAGCATACTGAAGGACACCAAGCCGACAGTCTTCAGAAAGCTTGTTTTGACCCTGTTGTCTCTCCCCTGCCCTCCGCTTGATGCTGAGCAAGTTTTTACTCAGGCAAGTAAATTCAGGAGCTGTATCAAGAATTATATGGTATTTAGGTTTTGCATGTTTAATTAATTTTGCGCACTTCCTGTATTTCCTGTCTCAGGCCTTAGAGAATGGGGATGCTGCACTGTTCTCTGAGAATGAAGCCTTGACAGAAAGCGAGAATGACTTCACATCCGACAGCGCTCTCTCTGACAGCACCAGCAACAAAGACTCCCCATTTCACACTAAAGGTAGGAAGACAGATAGTTCACCAAGTAAATTAAAACAAGTTAAATCATCATCTAACTTAAATTAATAATTTGATAGACCACTTTTCATGAAATTATGACAATGATTCATATGATGTACTGTACGTACTTATAAAGGAGGTGAAGAAGTGTATAGGAAGTCACTGCATTTGATAATTTGACATGTTATCTTCACTTTTATCTTATCTAGAACTTAATGGCCTTAATATGACAGTGAAGCCGTGTGAAGTCCGCCTTACGAAGATGAAAAGTAAGAAAAACAATGAACATTTTTTATCTGCATAATTTACATAATTGAAGTGTAATTTTCTCCTATATATTTAATTTGTAAATTGGAGTAAATCTTGATGTGGCTTTTTAGCTGGGAAACAGTTGGGGTTGCTGTCATCACCCAGATTTTCAGTTTTAAGATGTCAGAACGCCTTTATCACTACTCCGATCCTAACACTAAAAAATACTGTGCTGCGATACTTTCTCTTTCCTTTCAAAGAGTCAAAAAATGGATATGACGATATACATGGAGAGAATGGTGCCCTTTTGAAAGAGGTAACAAATTTTCCTCTCTGCCCTTTTTTCTTGCTTCACAATCTTCTACATCTTCACAAAAAAGAAGCAACTTGGTTTGAAAAGTTAAGATTGTCAATGACAAATTTTGACCATGAATGCCGTCAGCTAGACTTGATAGCAGAAACCAGAACAAAAGAGCAAAAAATATTCTTGCTGCATCACATTGGCTTCATTTCAAATTCTAAGTTGCTGCTTTTGTAAAGTGATTCCTCCACTCTTCAGTCCTTCCCACCTACTAACAGTCTTTTGTCCTCGCTTCTTTACTCTTTGCGCCCCTGGTATGATGAGGTGCAGTTTGCCTATATGGAGGTATGTTAGTGTTTTGAATAACATTTGCATGTGCATGATATTTGAGTGTGTAATGAGAGTGTGTTGTCTCTCAGGGGACCAGTAGGGGATGTTTTGGCTGGGAGAGCAGCTTGCGCCAGAAGCCACAGGCCCGTACAGTGTTTCAGGCTGGTGCTAGCACCTGGTCCAAACCCGTAGAGCTTGATAAGGACAGCAAAAAGGGTCTGGAGTCCCAAGATGAGGTGGTAGGTATACTCAAGTATACTGCCAGAATACCCCTGTAATGAGACAGGCCTCTTTGCCCTCTGAAATGCTACTAGATAGAACAAAATAAGTATTCAATGGTTTACCTGACAACATGAGAGCATCCTGCACAATAAGTATTTGATTGCATGGTTACAAATAGGTTTGGAGCGAGTATTTTATCAAATCTTCAGTCTTTTGAAGATCATATCAGATCTACGTTTAGCTTCAACAATTTTAAGTAAGTTTAAACAACAACACAAAATTCCAACTAAAATCCAAAGAATTACATTTAAAGACATAAAAGACAGATTACATATTTGGTATTTAGTTAAATTGCCATATAAAAGATCAGCATTTAATTTAATTTATTTAATTAAGTCTTAAATTTGATTTACAAAAGTTTATGAATATTTAGACATTGGTTTCAGTCAACCCCATCATACCTTTAGTAAATACTATTGCTAGTGTCGCTAGGCAGCTCTTAGACTCATAAGGAGCAAGTGCCAATTTTAGTAACAAGACTAGGTCAAAACCTAGTATATGGTTGGATGGTGTTGTAAGCTATTTGCATTCTGCCTAGTATCAGGTGGTTTCAGCCCTTTATCTGTTTGCTTCTTTCCTCCTCTGTGCTCGCATATACAGTATTTTGATACAGCCGAATTCTCAACTAAGCTGTTCTCATTAACATGTTCTTCTGTTTTTGTTGTCAGACAATGGAACAAGTATAAAATAGTCACGGAAACACAGCCCATTAAGACTTCATGTTAACCAGCCGTCACTTCCAAGCCATTTCCAAGCTTCTGCTCCGCTAAAATCCTGATTTTTGTAACTGTGTCTTCATCTGACAAAATGACAAAAAAAAGTGAAAGCACAATGGCTGTGCTGTAATTCCAGCTATACTTACTTTTGAAATGATCACAAATGAAAGATAGAAGCTCATTCATGTCAGCTGCCGTGTGGTCAGCATAGAGAGGTGTGTCTGCAGTGGGAAAGCCTGACCTCACACTTGTGGGGCAATACTGGTGACTCTCTTCTACGAAAAAGCCCCTAAGGTTTGTCCAAAACGTAGCTATTTGTTGCCAGGGTTTTTGTTAAAAAGGTGCTGAAGAGGCCTGGAAAGTCAGTTAAACTAGCGACAAAGGTGCTAAGTTGTCAGCACTGCTTGTGCGCGCTAAAACATTTTCAAAGAGCAACAACGAACTCCAATACTCAGCCGGCCAACCAATGGTGTACGCTTATTAGTCAGTCACGTGGCATTAGGATATCCAATGGTGTAACTTGATCACTCAGTCAGTCAGTGACAGGCCCATCTATAGGGTTGGCCCCGTTGTTGCGGTCCATCCAAAAACATACAGGGGCTCTGTGAGGCTTATCCTAGGCTGTGTGGAATTATAACAGGAGTATTTCTCACATTTTATAGATCAATCAATGAATTGAGAAAATAAACAGCAGATTTAATTGATAATGAAGATAATATTTAGTTGCCCACCCTAGTTGCATTTGTTACATTTACGGTTACATTCATCATAAAAATGGAAGCATATCTGTTGTGAGTGAGTGATGGCTGTCAAAATGCATTGAAAACACTTTCTGTGGGATTGCTCTTTAGACTCAGAGTTTAATGAAGTAAAAATTGAAAATCTGAACCAGCTATCAAAATCCGATCCTACCTCTAACACACCTTCATTTCAGATTAATCATTCGCTTTGTTCACCTGGCGCCAAGTCAGATTAGAAATAAATTGAAAATTCTATAATTCATACTCTAAAATATTATGCTGGCTCCAATGTTTAAATTCAATTTAAGCAATTAGTTTGAAACCACCATATTGGAAAAGACATTTTCTTGTTTGTTATTGGATTTTTTCCAATTTGCTGCTTTGAACAAAGCGAATGTTAATTTCATCATAATGATGAGGAGCCTTGCTTCTTGTTTTTAACAGATTCTCCCCTCTTTGTCATCTGAAATTATATAGCAAACACAATGATGATTGCTGATAAGCAATTGGTGATAAATTTAGAAACGCCTTTACCTAAACTTACCACCAAATACAGTTACACAGATATCTGTTCAGTAAGAAAATGTGGCTCTAAATATGGTTGACTTTCAGCCAGAAGAGTCCCCACCATCCAGTAAATCCACACCAAGACGACGACGGAAACACACCTACCAGGTAATATGTTACAGTTGCAGGAAAAAGCTCACAATACAAAGTTTGCTCATTAAACTTAATGTCATAGAAAATATCTGTGCTAGATTTTTTATCTGCTTCTAGGTATGTAATGTAGTTTTGAATAATGTCTGCTTTTCTTGTTTTTTGATGTCTGCAGGATGGGAAAGGGTTTCTGTCAGGAGAGCTTGTGTGGGGGAAAGTGAAGGGGTTTTCTTGGTGGCCTGGGATGGTGATGCCTTGGAAAACTAAGTCAGCTCCTCCGGGCATGCGTAGGGTGGAGTGGTTCGGAGACGGGATGTTCTCAGAGGTAAGGAGTACAGTGCATGTGCTTGAGCTGCAGAAACATTAAACGTGTTGAGTTGTATTTTTTTTACATCATTCTTGCTCTCTGTTGCAGATCCTTACAGAGGGTATACTCACGTTTAGTGCCTTCACTAAGTGCTTCTGCAAAAATTCCTTTGCCAGCTTGCCCGTCTACAAGGAAGCCATCTACCAAATTGTCGAGGTAAGAGACCAAAACTGTCACAAGACAAAACATCCTGTTCATCAGGATTCATTTTCACATCTGCATATCTGTTTCTCTTCTACCATCTCTTCGTAAGTTTTCTCTTGCTCACCAGTTTAAATGCTGTGTGGTGCTTCTTCTAAGAAAGGTTTGATCAACTCAGACCATAGAGGATGAAGTCAGTTCTCATCAATATGCATTTTATAAATCAGAGAGATTATTTCTACAATTTTCTTCATGATTGTGGTGAAAAAAAATCCATCTGAAAATCTCCTTCTATCTTCTTTCTGTGGGGATTTTATCAGTCCACTGAGATGGGGTTTGGCATCATGGATAACATAGTTGTCTGTTGTTGTGATATACTGGGGTATTTTAACCTTTAAAATATTATATTCAACATCATTCTCCTTTTTCCATTGTTCCATCTCTTATCATCTATTCAATTAAGACATAAATAAAGTGGAAAGTCCGACTGTTTTTATTTGACTGTGTGGCTTTAAAAAGGACAAAATCCGAAGGTTTGCTGATTAGGGCCAAACATCAAAGATGGATCATGTATCATCGTGTCAAGCAGATTGCTCAGAATCACTTGAGGGAAATGTTTCACCAACACCTGTGTTGTGCAGTTGGCAGGTGAGCGATGTGGGAAGTCTTTTGCTGAGGCGGAAGGAAATAAAGAAAAAGAGCTGAAGTTGATGCTGGACTGGGCCTTTGGAGGATTTCTGCCTACAGGACCAGAAGGATTCACACCTCCTGGTATCTACTCTCAAATACACAATGATTTATTTCTAAAATGTTTTAGAGCTGTCTTTAATTCATCAGGGAGGGCAGATTTTTAAATAGATACAGTCAATTTTTCTTCATGACAGGTTTTACAACCCTGTAATAATCAGGTGAAAGTTTGTAATTGATCAGTTAGCTGTGTTATTTTTACATACATTACGTCCTCATTGCTCTATCAGTGTAGCTTATTTAACCTTTGTTCGTTCTCTTTTAATGGCCACGCATCCAGAATCCAGAATCAGCAATTTTTTGCTTTACCAAAAAAATTGCTTGCTACATAGTTTCAGTTACACAACATATAGCTAGACATGATATATCACACAATTTGATGATAATAATAATATTCCTCAGTGGACAGTTACGAGCTGCATGTATGATGAGGCAGTGATGTTGACGCTTCTAAAAACATGATTCCATCTTTTTCTGATCTACAAGATTCTGCAGCACATCTTGACACTTCTGACTCTGCCCAGTCTGACTACCAGCCTCCACCAAAAAGGAAATATGTTTTTAAAAATAAGGCGAATGCATCCGTCATCACCTATAGCAGAGGTATGTATTATTTCTGTCCACATTTAGTCCACAAACATGACGAAAAACTCTCATGAGAGTAAACATTGGTGGAACCTTGTAGATTCAGAGTAGGTTGAATGTTATTACGTTATTATTTTTTCCTCTGTGTGTGATTTGTTTTAATGTTTCACTTTACAGAATCAATAATACAAAAGGTCAAAGAGAAAGGCAAAACAATTGAAGGTACGTTTTGTGTGAGAGTATGGAAGAAGTTTGTATTTTAACATTTTTGATATAAACATACATTTCTGAATTCTAAGGTAATGGTTTGTTATTTCAGATTTTTGTTTGTCTTGTGGATCAACTGAGATTGAAGTACAGCACCCACTGTTTGAAGGTGGTCTTTGTCTTAGGTGCAAGGTAATCTAACGACCCAATGATTTATCTTTGTCTATGTCAATGTGGTTTGCTTTACTCCATTCCAGCCCAGTTTGTAAATGTCTAACCTCCATCCAAAACACAGCTGCCATTAACACCCCAAATGCTGCGGAACGACATTGTCACTGTTTGCAGGAGAACTTCACAGAAACACTGTATCGCTACGATGAGGATGGCTACCAGTCGTATTGCACCGTGTGCTGTGCCGGCTTAGAGGTCATTTTGTGTGGCAACGCAAGCTGCTGCAGGTAAACACTGCTCAGGTGGTATCTCTCACAGACCATATTATTTATCACTGCAACCTTATTTGGTATGCTGAATTAGCTGTTTGAACTTCTTGGTTGTACAGTACCCCATGGGATTACAGACAGTTATCACTGAATTACTTTGATCCTGAAAACAATGTTAAAATGTGATGATTCTCAGGCAAGTTCTCGGATGTTCTCTCTCTCTCCCAGATGTTTCTGTATGGACTGCCTGGACATCCTGGTGGGCCCAGGAACCTTTGACAAGCTGAAAGATGTTGATCCCTGGAGCTGCTTCATGTGCCAGCCGTCACAGTGTAAAGGAAACCTCAAACTCAGACCAGACTGGAGCGTCAAGGTTCAAGACTTCTTTGCCAACAACAGCGCAATGGAGTTTGTACGTATCACACTCCACCTCCCAGTACACATTTCTATTTCACACGTTGGACAGTGGAGGGTAAATTCTGAAGTATATACATTTCTAGAAAAAAAAAATAACGCCTGCAGTAACTCAAATAGTTCCAGGAAGGAAATACACTCAATTATCCGTTTATTAGATACACCTGTCAGCGTTTATTATTATTGCAGCTATCATAAAGCTCAGTGTGTTTCTTGAGCTTCTCGGAGAAATGTTTATCCAGCTCACTGGTTATTTTGAGGCTGTACTTTGTGGGGCTGTTTAATTGCTTTTATTTCCATTATTTCACACCCTATAAACTGGAAACTCAGTTACAACAAAACAGATCCCCTGCTATGAGGAAACCTGGGTAAAGGAGCCGAAAGTGGACAGTAAATGTCAGCAGCATAATATTAGTTCATAAAACAAATCACAATTACAGTTAAAATTAGTTGTTAACATCAAATTGATAGAAATTTAAGCTGGTAGTTTTTCTAGCAGTTATGTGAGTCAAGCTGCAAGTGAATCCTCATCTCTGTTTTAGTTGAAGTATGTTTGTTAAGGTGAGGTGATGTTAAATTTACAATTGTGTCATCTTTTTTTGTCTCGTTACAGCAAAAGTTAGCAGGTTTAACTTAGGTTACCATTATTTTCATTATTGATTAATATGCTGATTATTTTCTAGATTAATTAATTGATTGTTTGGTCCATAAAATGTATGTCAATTTTACAATGATATAAAAGAGACAAAAGCATAAAATCGTCACATTGGACAAACTGAAACCAGAGAATATTAGATGTGTCTATTTGACAAATGACTGAAACAATTGATCAATTATCAAAAAAATGCCAGTTAATTTTCTGTTGACCAAATTATTAAGCTCTAAAAAATTATTCTCTGTAATGTTAATTGAAATTCAAGGGGAGAACATAACATGTGGTGACAGGTGTTGGTAGTGGTCAGTGTACACTCATGTATCTTATTTCTCCACATTGCAAAAACATGAAGACACTGCTTAATGTGATAATTACTAGTCTTCAACTCTTAACACTGAACACTCTTAATTAGGGACAAAACTTATGTTCATTGGGACGACAGTTTGCAGGTACATTACAAGTGTCTCCTGCTGCATCTGCTGTTAAATAACTAGTTGGTTCAGTGATGCTGAAAGTTGTCTATTAATGATTTTATCACAGGAGCCTCACAGAGTTTATCCCTCCATCCCTGCTGATCAGCGCAGACCAATCAAGGTGCTCTCACTCTTTGATGGCATTGCAACAGGTTGGTTCATCATGTCATGCTTTAAGACATCTAAACCCTAGTTTTGTTTCAAGACAGACTCATCCAGTCTTTGTGATGTTTGGTCTACACGCACTACTGAAGAGGAGCCTTTGGGAGCCTCAGAGCTGCTTAAACCAAGAGTACATGCCTAATGGGAAAACAGTAATTGCATAAGATGTGGGAATTCTTTTAATCAGTAACCTGGCTTTAACTACTGTCACATCACGACAGGATACCTGGTGCTCAAAGACCTCGGCTTCAAGATGGAGCGCTACATTGCTTCAGAGATTTGTGAGGATTCCATCGCTGTGGGGATGATCAAGCACGAGGGAAAGATTGAATACGTCAATGATGTTCGCACCATCACAAGGAAACATGTGAGTACAAGCTGCAGTAAGATTACTCACGCCACACACAAACCACTGAAAAGTAATCTGAACCCACCTTTAACTGAGCAGTCATTCAGTTTGTGTATCAAAGTTCACACCAAAGAGGCTTAAAAATGTTTAAAAATATGAAGTGAACTGAAGCTCTGTAGTTGTGTGTTGAAGCTGGCTGAATGGGGTCCGTTTGATCTTCTGATTGGAGGCAGTCCATGTAACGACCTGTCCATGGTCAACCCTCTTCGAAAAGGATTATTTGGTAAGCAGCTTCCAAACTACATAAAATAAGGTCACCATAGGTTACAGCATCTTGTACACACATTCTTCTTCTTTAATAACTCTCTGTTTGTGCTGCAGAGGGCACTGGGAGGCTCTTTTTTGAGTTTTACCGCATTCTGACCTTGTTGAAGCCAAAGGAGGACGACGACCGGCCGTTCTTCTGGCTGTTTGAGAACGTGGTTTTCATGAGTGGCAACGACAAATCAGACATCTGCCGATTCCTTGAGGTGATTGATTACTGGTGAAAGTATCCTGTTGGCACGATGGCAGCGATCAGGCCGCATTAAGTTTTACTGCTCATTATTTGAATCCTCCCTTTTTGTTTTTCCAGTGTAATCCGATTCTCATTGATGCAGTGAAAGTCAGCCCTGCTCACAGAGCACGCTACTTCTGGGGAAACCTCCCTGGCATGAACAGGTACGTACTAAGACACAGTCATATTCCTTTCTTAATGCAGAGTCACACACTAAAAGACAAAATAAATTCATTCCTTAAAAAAAATGTGTTCAGTTGACATGCCTATCTGCATTTCTCTTAAGGCCTCTCGCTACATCCTTAGACAACAAAGCGGCTCTTCAGGATTGTTTGGAGTCTGGACGTACGGCAAAGGTAGAAGCATTTATTTTGCTGTGTGTGAGATAGATGATAACCTGAAGTGCCAGAACCGTCAGACCTGTAGCAAACAGTGTAAACACCACTAGCCACAGCTGATTGGAAGTGGGTCAATTTTAGCAAGTTAATGTACTGAAGTAAACCATTTTTAATTGGTTGATCCATCCATCAATTTTATGCCCTTTATTTGGGGTTAGGTAATTTAAATAATTATAACATTAGAAATTATTGTTATTTAATACTGGGAGATACTGGAAAAGTGTACGATGATAAATAACTCTAAGCCATTCAGCACCCCTTGGTTTTTCCATTATACTTAGGCCAGTATGACCATGAAACAGCTATTAAATTGCATTCGACATGATATTAAAAAGTCTTTAAATTCAACTTGGTGGAAACTGTAGAAATTCTGAGAAAAGACTGAATAACTGTCTTCTCTCAAAACACAAGTCTTAAAATTGTAAAACACCCTGATTCTGTTTTGTCATCTCTTCCTGCAGTTTGACAAAGTCCGCACCATCACAACAAAGTCTAACTCCATACGGCAGGGGAAGATGGGACCACTACCTGTCACCATGAATGGCAAGGAGGACTACCTGTGGTGCACCGAAATGGAACAGTAATTATTTCCGAAATGAACATTTTCTTGCAAACATATTGCTTGCATCACAGTATAATCTCATGTTTAGTATTCATTAAGTAAAGCATTGTGTCTGCAGCTGCTGTGCTCCACAGTCCCCACCCACAGCCAGTGGAAATTAGTACAAAGTAGATAAAATGAAAGCTGACTGTGTGAAACTGTTTAGCCTAATTGGTCACACATTTTGAAAACGTCAGTCAGTGTTTTGCTGTCAGAAATATTATGTATTTTAGATTTGTTACCAGGGACATATGACGACTTTTCCGTTCCACTAAAAACAATATTTTGTTATATAAAGATTATAGAATAGCATGAAACAGCCTCCAAATTACAGACAATGTGGGCTTGCGGGAGTCCTGGTAGATTGGTGTTTAATATGCATATCAAATAAATCTCTGTATCTGTATGCTGTAGCTATCTATAAAAGGCAAAATGCAAAAAAGAGAAAAGAAAGAAAAGACAAATTGGGCCGGATGCTGACAGAATAGAGGAAAACTGCTCTGCCTGATTTTCACAAGTGGAAAACATGGGCAGCCTCGTCCTGACTGTGTTAAAGTAGATCACATCTGGATTGTGACCTTGTGTCACTTGTCTTCAGCAATATACTGAGAAGCATTTTGAGCATGTCAGTACACAGACACATATTAGATTATTTGATGTTTTGTATCTTTAGCATTTTCCATGTGGTTGACTCTTATAGGATCTTTGGCTTCCCCAAACACTACACGGATGTGAACAACATGGGCCGGATGCAAAGGCAGAAAGTCCTGGGTCGTTCCTGGAGTGTCCCTGTGATTCGTCACCTCTTCGCCCCACTGAAGGATTATTTTGAATGTGAATAACAACTCTGAAGTGAATCTTCGTGTCAGAGCAGCAGCGGTAATCTACTGCCTTCTCCTGCCCTGCATTACTAGCTCTCCAATCTTTTTCTGAAAGACTTAACGTAGTATTTTCTGTTTTGAGTTTTAGAAATGTTTCGCCCATGAGCTCGTTTAAATCTGTGAGTTGTCACTCATCCACCATCCACCATCACCAGCAGGCACCGACACTTTCCAGTTTCTTTTTTTTTTTCCAGGTTTCCTTTGATTAATGATGGTGCTGTGATCAAACAGTAATGTTACTCAGAACATGGGCCTGTGTCATGAAGCATGATTAGACAGTTAGCCAGCTATCTTTGGGCTTAACTGGGGTTCTTCAGTATCACGAGGCTGGCTCAGCTTAGAGTAAATCATCATGGTAACCTACTGCAGGACTAACACTGACAAACATTACAACAAGTAATAAAGGTTTTATAAGTCAGTAGTTGTGATCAGTAGATCATTAGTTTACATACCATGATAATTATGTCAGAGACAAAACAAACAAACATTCTTGCCCAACCACACATGTCCACTCTCAGATTAAAACAGGACTCTTAATAAGCTTCCCTATCAGCCCAATGAATGGCAGTTGTTTTGGTTTTGCGGCCAGTAACTTTACTGTTCTGGTTCATTCTCATCACTCTCATAGCATCATTTCAGCTGTTTTCACAAAGAAGATCTAAAAACCCACTGTCGTGGCAGATAGAGTTAGAGACTAACTAGTGAGCATAATGAAGGATTTAGCAGCTAAAGAGCCAACTATTTCTCCCAGGAGTTTGTAGAGACCAAAGTAGAGCTAGAAGAGAGTGAATATGCGACTTCTAGTCGTCAGGTGACCAAAATGTCACTGTCCTGGACTGCTGAACATGTTGAAAAGGACTAGATAATGCTTCCTACACTTATTTATAGCCTCTCTTTTCATATTTGGATATTGTTCCTAATGTTTTTTTTTACAACTTCTTAGTCCATTCTAATTGTGTGATAATATTATAATTATATTTACTGTACAGATAACCAGCCTTGTGATACCCGTTATTCAGGATTCAGAGAAGCCAGGTAACCCAGCTATTGAAGTCTCTTTGTGACACAGGCCCCAGGTCTCTACCTCAACACTGATTTATCTGCAGTTACACTTTTTTATCTTTATTAATTTATGAAAAACTGTAACTTTGTTTTCTTTCTACATAAATTTTTTAATTTTTATTGTAAAATCTTACCAGGGAAGTCTGATCTAATCATGTTCATCAATAGCTGTGAATAATTTTATTATTCTTACCTCTTCAGTGAATCGACTGGACAGTTTTTTTATCTAGTTTTTATTACATTTTTATCCAAATTACATTCATCTTACTGTGGTGCACCAGTGACTTTGTCCAAAATGACCTCACTGGTTTTGCATTTGTGCTAAAATTTTACCTGTTTTAAGAGCTGTTATTTATACGAGACCAAAAATATTTTGTGGCCACTCATTGAGAACAAACTGTCTTTGATATCACTGTTGTTAGTACAATAGTGCAGCAGGCTGACCTAAACATAATGTAACGTGTCTTCTAATGCTAGGAGACATGTACCTTAAAAGCCCATAACAATGGTTTTGCACATTTGATCCCTTTAATAACAAAATGTGTACTCTACAAAACAAAATCCAGCCATATTTCACAGCACACTATAGGCTCGAGGTTGAAAAAGTAAAGGCGCAGTTCTTTGTTGAAATACAAAAGTTAAAAAGCTTTTATTATTGTCGTTGCATTTTAAAAACAAGACCAACATCTTCCTCAGGGTCAAACAGTAACACAAACACAGGTGAATACTCTTTAAGAACAAGGTGCCAATTTAAACTTAATGCATGCACTGCACATAGGATTTTCTTTGTTTTGGTTGGTTTGTTTTTTTATTTCAAGCCATTTAAATGCTAGGGCTGTAAGTAATGATTATATACGTTATTGATTGATCTGTCAATTATTTTAATTATTATTATTTTAATTATGTTTTCTTTGAGCAGCAAATCCTCACACATGATCAGCAAACATTCCCACTTGAGAAATTACTTCATATTTAATTAATTATCAAAATAAATATCCATTATGTTTGTGTTGATTGGCTAATCTACTAATTGTTGGAGATCTCATAAATATGACTTATAACTGACTAAATAATTGAAATAAAACCAAAATGTCATAAAAAAAATAAAAATAAAAAATAATGAAAAAATAATATTATTAACTAATAAAATTAGTTAGGTTAGGAATGACTTTACTGATCATGACTTTTAAAAATGCAGATCACCATTTGTTAATCATGTTGCCACAGCAATAAAAGCTTTAAAACATTTGTTCTAATACTAAAACAAAGCAGTGAGCCTTGAATGATCCACCTGGTGCCTCCTTCATTCCTTTTGCTTTCTGAATACAACACAATGAACATTCAGTCTGCTATAGTTTTAGCAAAGTTATACTTCAGTCATGTGGTCATGTAAACAGTGTATTCAGCTGCTTGAGATTTGATGACTGCAACTCTTTAATGCAAGAAATTGTGGCGACTCAGCATTCAAAATCATGCCAAATAAATAAAACGGTTTGAAAAAGCTAATCACAAGAGTAATCACAGATCAAATATGGAATACAACTATGATATCCTGCTTTTTTTCACTGGTAATTTAATTACAGCCGTTTTCCAAAAACTGTTCATATTCTTATTTAACAATCTTATGTTTCCCATTGGCTGTTTATATCATAATGCCACTTTGCATCAGTGTCTTTGTCGGTTGGTCAAGACAAAAAAAAAAAGACAAACATATGTGATTGGCCAATCACATAACTCGCTCTGCTCCTTTTGTCTTGATTTACAAACAGAAATTTTGTGACGAAATAAGACAGTTATTGAGAAAAGTGACATAAAATAGAGAAGTTTGTTATTATGTTTCATAATAAACTGAATTCTAAAGGTATTCAAAGGATTATTGCACAATTTCATGGACAGATTCCATATTTATTCATGTGATTATTCAAGTCGCAATGTCTTGTTTATTCACTTAATTTGAACACTTGAATTTTAATAAGAAATTACCAAATTTACATTATTCCACTTACAAAAGCCACGTTTTGTTATTGTTCATTTGATTTTCTGACCCATCATGCAGCTCTGTATGTGGGACACCTGACATTTCTCGCTCAGTTTCCAGGCTCTCAAATGGCAGAATTTGTGTTTTGGACTTTTGATTGGACAAAACTTTTTTGAAACTTACCCTTGGACTTCTAATTGTTAGAATAATAGATTATTAAATAAAATTTTCAGTGTTAATCTTATTGGATGTTGGCCTGTTGATTGGACAAAAATACCTTTGATGATGTCACTTTGTGAGTCTGGAGATTGTGTTGAGAATTTTTCACTTGTCCCTGATATTTTAAAGGAATCGATTCACAGAGAAAATAATCTGCAAATGAATCAGAAATTAAAATTATAGTTATTTGTAGCCCTTCTGTACCGTCAAATTAAGAACTTGTTTATTAACAATGATGTCAGCAGTAATGTTTATTGTATGTGTATGCTGTAGGTGCGCGTTCAAATGTCAGTGAGATTTGACCCATTTGCATGTACCATTTTTTTTGTTTGTTTTTCTTTATGTTTGGTGTGAGGTTGTTTAATCATCAGTACTGTTCAGGTGTCTGTAAAGTCAGGTTTCATGCACACCTGTGTTTCTATTTTTCAAATGGGTGATTTTTTAACTTTACAGAAAGTTAAGATAGTGGTGCTGCCTTAGGTATGAGTCATTTATTTTCCTGTGATTGACCATTCATTAGTGTTCACTGACAGGCCTACAGTGAGATCAGACTGTTCTGACGTGGTCGACGCCTTTACCTCATCGTTTGTTTGGACTTGTTTCCTAATGGTGCTACACTAACGGTGCTAACTTTGCATGTAAAGTTTTTGGTTTTGTCTTTTTTTACCTCTACCGTTAATATGCGCCAGATAAAAGTGAACTTTTCTTGTAGTTTTTTTTGTTATGCAGTGTGTTGGACATTAAATTGTGTGTTGCTTTTTATGAAATGAGAAAGTGACATAGCGAAATATTAGTGTGATTTATCATCAGCGACATGTTATTTGTTTTTTTTTCCTTTAATATTCTATTACTTGTCAAAAAATGCCATTTCCTTAGTCAAAAACAAAAACACCTACATTTGACTTGTTTTATTGCTTCTCAATGACTAAACATACTTTGGTCACCCTTTTGTAAAATCATTATATAAATGTAGTTAACAGTTAAAAGTTGTACTGGAGCTCAGAACAGCTGGAGCTCAGTGGTGCTGCAACATTGGCTGATGGAATAAAATCTACACTGTGTATCTTGTCCCTCTTGCTTTTTTAAATCAAGTTGTATTGAACATGTGACAACTGAAATGACTTATATTCCACCACCAGAGGTCAACATTGTTCACAAATGTGCTGCAGTAAATCACTCGAGACTTGCAGAGAGAGGACCAGCAGTTTTATATTGAGCTAATCAGCCTCCTGGGAATCTGCATCCTGTCACAATTACAGCTGTTTAAGATGGATGTGTTAATATGGAGGCAACTGTGACTTTATTTTATTTCACCAGGATAACCACCCAGTATCAAAACTGCTTACAGGGAGTTCTGTGTACGTAAAAACAAAAAAATCGAACAAAACATCAAACAGTTGGTACTGGTGTCAAGTTTGATCCCATGTAGATCCCATTATTTATCCGATTCCAGATAGTGGTAGTATAATACAACTGGTTGCTCTTGAATGCAGCATTTCAGGGTTTTCCAGGAGGCGTGGGTCCCTCCTCTACAAAGTTTCTGACCTTATGTGATGGGTTGGTGGTGTACCCTAACTGAAATAAAATTAAGGCTTTAATACCTTTTTACTACCAATAGAATAAAATTTAATACCTTTTTCACAGTCATATCTGACGGAAATCAATATTCAAGACCATGTCAACAGAAATTGTCATCTAGTTG